CAGTGTAGGGGCTGTCAAACCGGCGCCAACTCATAGTGAGCCTGTGTATACAGCAGAATGAAACCCGCCCCATCCTGTGCCGGCCTCACAGTCCCTGCTGTGCCTGGGCCCATCGTGGCAGCCACCGTATCAGTCCATCTCACTGAGGGGCTTCCTCTTTTTTGCTGACCCTCTACTTCATCCAGCATGATGTCTTTCTCCTGGGACTGGTCCCTTCTGGAAACATGACCAAAGTACAAGAGACGGAGTCCCACCATCCTTGTTTCTTAGAAGCATTCCAGCTGTACTTCTTCCAGGACCACTTTGTTGGTTCTTCTTACAGTCCATCCAAAAACCCCAAAACCCAAACCCACTGCCAGTGAGTCGATTCAGATTCACAGCAACCCCCTTTGGGTTTCTGGGATGATAAATCTTTATGGAAGTAGACTGCCCAGTCTTCCTTCTGTGGAATGGCTGGTGGGTTTGAACCGCCAGCCTTCTGGTTAGCAGTCAGATGCCTTAGACACTATGCTATCTGAGCTCCCAGAGCTACCCCACAGGGTTTTCTAAATGTCATCTTCACGGGAGCAGATCCCAGGTTGTTCTCATAAGGAGCGTCTGAGTGAGTTCAAACCACCGACATTTCAGTTAGCAGCCGAGCGCTCAACCATCGTGCCACCAGGGCCCCTGTGGCTCTCTGTAGATTTGCCTGTTTTATATAAGTGGGACCACACAGTGTTTGTCTTTTTGTGTCTGATTTCACTCAGCATGTTTTCAAGCTTCATTCGCTTCGTCTCTCTTCACAGCTGAGTAATATTCCAGACCCAGCCGTGGTGTTTTCAGTCGCCTCGTATGCATGTGAGAGCCGGACAATGAATTGTTGTTGTTGTTATGTGCCATCGAGTCGGACCTGACTCATAGCAACCCCTCCTCGGGTTTCCGAGGCGGTATCACTACAGAAGTAGACTGCCCCATCTTCCTTCTGAGAAGTGGCTGGTGGGTTTGAACCGCCAGCCTTCTGGTTAGTAGTCAAGTGCCTTAGGCACTATGCTACCAGAGCTCCTGGACAACAAATAAGAAGAAAGAGCTGAGGTTTTTGAGTTGTGTTGTTGGCGAAGAATACTGAAAGTATCATGGACTGCTGAAAGAACTAACAGATCTATCCTGGAGGAAGTGCAGCTGGGATGCCCATTGGACGTGAGAACGGCCAGACTTCATCTCACCTACTTTGGTCATGTTATCAGAAGCGACCATCCCCTGGAGAAGGATTTCATGCTGGTAAAGTGGAGGGTCAGTGAAAAAGGGGAAGGCCTTCAATGAGATGGACTGACACAGCGGCTGCGACAAGGGGCTAAGGTACAGCAGGGATCGTGAGGCTGGCGCGGGACCAGGCGGCGTTTCATTCCATTGTGCATGGGGTCCGTGTGAGTCAGACCCAACGAAAGCCCTTGACAACAACATGGAGGGGCCACGTTCTGTTTTTCTGTCCATCCGTTGACGGACATTTGGGTTGTTTCCACTGATGACGCTCTTTGTCTTGGCCTGGCTGGGTGACCGCTGAGTGTTGGTTTAACAACAATTTATTAGGTTATGTGGGTCCCTGGGTGGCGCAGATGGTTTGCACTTGACCACTGTTCTGGTTACCTGTGCCGCTCTGACAAGAATATACCACAACCGGGATGGCCTCAACAAACAGGAGTTCATTCCCTCACAATTTGGAGGCTTTCAGTCCAAGTTCAAAGTACCAGGCTCCAGGGGCTGGGTGAAAGCCCCTCGGCCTTCAGCTCTGCCTCTGGCTCCCGGCCCACTGAAGCTAGAGGCATCTCTTCACTCAGGCAGCTACTGGCTGCTGAGGCTGACAAGCCCAAGGTCGACAAATAAAATGGCACAGTCCTGATGTTACCAAACCACATGGCAGGCCATTAATTCAAGTCCATTGTAAGTAAGTCCCAAGGTCAGCAGAGCATGGCAGGCTGCTGAGCAACGACACGGCTACATGCAGGGTCCAAGCGTGCCATAGGCTAGAGACCATGCCCAAGGCTTCTCCTTATATGCAGCAAGCAGACCACATCCCAAAGGCAGCTACTCAGCTGCTTGTGGTAGATCCCACCATGGCGTGATTGCCAGTCTCCTCATGGGGATTAACACCAGCTGCCCAGCCACTCAACCAGGCCCAGCCAAGTCGACACACCAACATAACTGCCACACCTCCTAACCTAAAGGTTGGCAGTTGGAACCCACCCCGTGGCACTGAGGAAGAGAGGCCTGACAATGTGCTTCAGTGAAGATCCCACTGAGAAAACCCTAGGGCACGGTTCTAGCCCGTCACATGGGGGCACCATGAGTGGGAACCAACCCAACAGCATCGGGTTTGGTTTTGGGGTTATTAGTTTACGCAGGCGTGTTTCCTGGGTTCTCTGGGTGGCTGGACACTTTACACCCACCTGCTCCCCTCTGTGTCCTCATGTTGTTGGTGGTGTTGTTGTTAGGTGCTGTTGAGCCAGACCCGGCCTCATATGCACTGAAAATCAAGCCAAGTCTGGAACGGAGCCTGCCACGTGGTGAGGAAGCAGCTGCCTATTTGGGGAACTAGCAAGAAGCCTTGTTTTGATGTTGGGGATGTGAGCAGAGGCCGGACCACAGGGTGTCTGGGGGGTAGAGTCGGCGGGAGTGGTGGAAGGTAGCAGACAGGAGCCTGACACTGTGCACGTCCGCTTGTGACTCGCTCGGGACCTGGTGTCCCCTCCATCAGCCGGGAGCAGCCAGGAGGATAACCTGCCTTGGTCCCGGGACCTCGACTTCCCTCTGTTCCCGGCTGGGACCCCACAGCCTCCAGCACAGCCCAGCTGGTTATCGCTACTGGAGCCATCACCTGCCCTGGAGTAGGAAGTCCTGGCCTCTCGCCTCGGGGAGCCGGGGGTGGGGGGGGCGCCTATCACGCTTCCCGTCTGCCATTCGCTATGAATCAACATCATTCGTGCTGGGCGGGGGGCCGCCAGCACTGAGCCTGCTGTGGGGGAGGGGAGACTGTTGCAGCCACTTGCTGTGTGACTCTGGGGGCCTCACTCACCCTCTCTGAGCCCCGCCGGTGCCATCTGTGAAGGGTCCATTGTTGGGTGCCATGGAACCCAAAGCAGCCCAGTTAGAGTTTGGACTACAGGCTGGACAGAATCCCAGCTCTGTCTCATCCTAGCTGTGCCGTCCCTGAAGGTGATTTTAATTGTTCTGTCCTCAGTTTCCCCACATGTAAAGTGGGGATAATAATAGTAACTACAGGTTGAGGAGCCCTGTTGGCACAAAGGTTAAGCCCTCAGCTTCTAACTGAAAGGTTGGTGGTTCAAACCCTCCCAACAACTCTGAAGGAGAAAGATCTGGTGATCTGCTCCCATAGAGATTACTGTCCCTATAGGGCTGGCATCGGACTGCTAACCAGAAGGCTGGTGGTTCAAACCCACCAGCCATTCCTCAGAAGGAAGACTGGGCAATCTACTTCCCGTAGAGATACCGCCTCGGAAACCCAAGCAGGGGTCGCCATGAGTTGGGATCGACTTGATGGCCGTGAGCTAGGGCTGCTGTGCTCTGTCCCATGGACCACTAGGAGTCCACAGCTCAGTGGTACCCGACAACAGTATGAGGCCACCACCAGCTGTCAGCTTGTCACACTGTGCTGGCTTGAGTGTTGCTGGGAGGCTGGAGGCTATGACACCAGCATGTCAAACACCAGCAGGGTCACCCCTGGTGGACACGTTTCATGGGAGCGTCCAGACTGAGACTGGGGAGAGAGACCTGGCTGCGTGCTTCTGAACCTCAGCCAGTGAAAGCCTGAGGGCCACAGCGGAACCCTGCTGGACATGGTGCTGGAAGCTGAGCCCCGTAGGGCGGGAGACACCCAGAACACAGCGGCCAGAACCCAGGGCCGCACCGACCGCCCGCCACAAAGACGGCACAGGGCCGGCCGCAGCTTGTGTTCTGTCACCCGAGGGGTCGTCCAGCGTCCTAGACAGCAACCGCCAGCAGCAGTATTACTTATTGTGGTTTGTTTATTGGCTAAAAACAACAACAACAACAAAAAAAAAACCCACTGCTGTCGAGTCGATTCCAACTCATAGGGACCCCCACTGGGTTTCTGAGGCGGTAAAGCTTTACAGAAGTCAATTGCCCAGTCTTGCTTCTGTGGAGTGGCGGGTGGGTTTGAACCACCAACCTTCTGCTTAGCAGTCAAGTGCCTTAGGCACTGTGCCACCAGAGCTCCTTGGTTTATGGGCTACACAGGTCTCATTGTTTGGATAGTCACGGTTAACTGCTGCTGTCAAGTTGATTCCAACTCATGGTGACCTCACGCATTTCAGAGGAGAAGGGCACCCCGTGGGGTCTTCCCCGCTACGGACTTCTGGAAACAAATCTCTAGGCCTTTCTTTTCCGATGCCTCTGGGTGGGTTTGAACCACCAGCCTTTGGGCTAGTAGTCCAGCACTTAACCCTCTGCAACACTCAAGGGTTCCAACAACAACAGTATTGGTCCCTAATTGGCTTAGAGGAGGGTGAGAAAGTGAGGGGTAGGGGGACAGCGGGGCAGCAGCGAGAGGCCACGTGTCAGAGGCCTCAGAGGCAAGTGTCCGCCCCTTCTTCAGAATGAGGAAGGAAAGCCTGTTGACCACCACTGGCACCCACACTGTGGCTGGGGATTTTTCTTGCCGCCACCCACCTTCCCCGGGGGGCACCCATCTCACCTCTCAGGGTGCTTTTCGCGCGGCAACCTGCCTGGCTGGGTCGGGGCAGGTCTGACGATGGGCGGGGAGCCATGAGCCTCCCAGCCCGCCTCTCCCGCTCCTCCCCCGGCCCCGCCCTGTGCCTAGCACCCAGGCTTCTCCGACTTGGCTCCCCAGTCACCCCGAGGCAGGGAAGCTGGAGGCCCTGGGGGGTAACCCCCCGAGAAGAAAACAGCCCCTTTGCGCCAGGCTGCCTGGAGCTCTTCCCGGAGCTGGCCAGGGTGGGGCACCCTGCCCAGCGGGGTGGGGGGCCATGACATGGCGCTGCTGCCCGTGGTGTATGACGGAGGACGAGAAGACGGCGGCCCGGATCGACCAGGAGATCACCAAGATCCTTCTAGAACAGAAGAAACGGGATCGCGGGGAGCTGAAGCTGCTGTTGCTGGGTGAGTCCGGAGGGAGGGGGCCAGCTGGGCATGGAGTCCGAGTGGGACTCCCGGGCATCGACTGTGGCACCGGGAGACGCCGGAAGCCCACTTTACTGCTGGAAAGACTGAGGCTCAGAGAGGCCACATTTGCTACGGAAGGTGAGATTCCAACCCCAGGCCCAGCCACTTAGCAGGGCATCTGTGAGAGCAGAGGTGGGTCGGCCTGGTGGCCTGGTGGCAGCCCAGCTCTTGCCAGGCAGGCCCAGCCTGCCCTGCCTGCTTCTGTGTCACCAGGGGGGAATGACAAGCTCAGGTGTGCAACCCGCCCTGGGGGCTGGGGAGCCGCATGGGCTGGGTTGGCTCTGTCTCTCCCTTCATCTCCAGGGGGTTCAGGACCCTCCCAACCTTTCTCCTGTTGGTTAGGGTTTGTTCCGGCAGCTTTGCCTGTAGGAGCCCTTCTGGGCCAAGCACAGCCAAGGGGCCGGTGTTGATTGATTCACAACATATCAAGTCCCATCCGTAGTAGGAGCCCTGGTGACACAATGGTTTAGCACTCTACTGCAAACCGAAAGTTTAGCAGTTCAGACCCACCAGCTGCTCTTTGGGAGAGAGACCTAGCCATCTCCTTCTATAACGATTGCAGCCTACACAGAAGGGCAGTGTTTGCACAGGGAGACAGCTCAGGAGGCAGGAATGCATAGGAAAGAAGGACACAGGGAAGAGGTAACTGCAGGGAGGAAGTGGGAAGAGAGCTGTTGCATTGTGGGGAATTGCAGTCAGCGTCACAAAACAAATGTGTATGAACTGCTGTGTGGGAAATGAATTTGCTCTGTAAACTTTCACCCAAATCACAATAAAAATTAAGAAAAAAAAAAAAAGACCACAGCCTAGCAAACACTATGGGGCAGGTCTGCTCCGTCACGTGATGTCACTGTGGGTCACAAGTGACTTATTAAACATGACAACTACTACTGGACAAGAGGTAGAGACACAGCAGTGAACGAGATAGAAAAGGTTTCTGCCTGTGTAGGGCTCATCCGCCAATCTGGGAGACAGACATTAAGTCATAAGTAAATTAGGAAATGAAACAATTTCAGGCCGTGACAAGAGGTAGAAGGAAAAGAAAACAGGGCAGGGAAGTAGGAGTGATTTGGGGCGGTTTTGGAAGCTGTAAGGCCCCGAGACTCTGAGCTCTGAAATCCCAAGGCTCTGTCGCCAGCACACCTCTTCTGCTCACCCTACTACCTTCCCCCGCTCATGACCGACTTAACCCCAAGGACGCTAGCCTTGGAAGGTCTTTTCAGGACTCCTGGAGCCAAGAGGGCCCTGGGATGGGGGCCGGAGAAGATCCCTGGCCCCTTGAGGTTGTCAGCATCACCCCTGCCTGCCCTGGGTGGGAAGACACAGCCCAAGGAGCAGGGGAAAGACAGTGGGGAGCAGAGGTCCCTAGGAATTGCACCTTAATCCACAGCCTTTCCAACTCTAGCCTTGGGCTCTCTTGCTAAGTTAGGTAAAATCATTACTCTTTCGAGTAGATCTGGTGTGGCATGAAACTCAAACTCTGGCCCTCCGTGACCTCCATGATGTCAGCTCCCATTCTTTTCTCCCATAATTCACCTGGGTGTGTCATTTTTCCTGAAATGTCTGGTGGAACCATCTGAGCCTGGAACGGTTTTAATTGCAAATGCAATTTCGTCGCTAAGTATTTCTATCAGGTTTCTTGAGTAGGTACAGGGTTGTTGAGGTCATTCTTGACTGAGCTTTGCTCATTTCTGAAGAATTTGTCCATTTCCTCTGAGTTGTCAACTATATTGGCATAAAGTTGTTTATAATAATTCGGTCATTATCCTTTTAATATCTGTATGATCTGCACTGATGTCTCTCTCACATTCTTGATATTAGTCATTTGTAACTTTGCTCCTTTCTCTTGATTCATCAGGCTAGGTGTTTATCAAAATTGATAAAATTATTTCTCTTTCCTTGAACATCTCAAATTCATTTATTTCCACTTTGGTTCTCGAGGGCTGCTCTAATAGAAAATACCACAGGTAGGATGGCTTTAACGAACAGGAGTTTATTCCCTTACAGTGTAGGAGGCTAGAAGTCCGAGTTCAAGTGCCAGCTCTAGGGGCTGGGTGAAGGCCCCTCAACCTTGGACTTCAGCTCTGCCTCTTGCTCCCGGCCCACTGGAGCTGGTGGCTTCTCCAAACTCAGGCAGCTGCTGGCTGCTGAGGCTGACAAGCCCAAGGTTGACAAGTAAAATGGCACAGTCTCAAGATTAGCAAGCAACACAGCAGGCCACTAGCTGAAGCCCAGAGACAGTCCCCAGATTGGCAGGCAACATGGCAGGCTGGTGAACAATGACATGGCCACCTGCAGGATCGAAGCGTGCCAAAAGCTGCAGACCTTTCTCAAAGCGTCTTCTCCCATTACTGGAAGCAGAGCACATCCCTAAGGCAGCTCCTCGGCTGCTCTAGTAGATCGCACCATGGCGCTGATGACCAGTCTCATCTTGGGGAATAACTACATCCAGCTCCCCAGGCACTCAACCAGGCCCAGCCAGGTTGCCACATAACTACCACAGGGCCTTTGCACTTGTCATTCACCTTGCCAAGAGCTTTCAGTATAACCCAAACCTCTGTATGGATGGCTCCCTCACTTCATGCAGTTCTGAGCTCAAGAGTTGCCTCCTCAGAGAGGTCTTCCCTGACTACCCCAGACTACAATGACAGCCCCGTCCTTCTCTTTCCCCTTTCTCTGCTTGATGTTTTTCCATAGCACTAACTAGTAAACATTTATTGCTTTACTTTCCGTCCCTCCAATTACCCACCAAGCAACACGAGGTCAGGGGCTCTGTCTTGTTCTGTCTCAAATTCCCAGCATCTAGTACAGAAATACAACAACTTTGGCACCTGGTGCGTGCTCCATAAATGTTTGTATTTTTTAAAATAATTTATTTGTTTGTTGAGGACCTACACAGCAGGAAACACACCAACTCAGCCATGTCTACACCCACAATTCAGTGGCCTTGATGGTCTTCTGTGAGGTGCCCAACCATTCTCACCCTCATTTGCTAGGTCGTCCTTCCCCTATTAGCATGCACTCACTGCCCCCCTAAGACTTCTATCAAACCTTTCAAGTTGTTCTTGTCAATTGGCTCCCATAGAGACAGTCCTTCAAAAGGGCCGGATGTTCAAGGCAGACATTGTTCACTGCTGTTCTTGTCCTGAGATGCTGTCAGGTGGATTCTGACGCATTGCAACCCTGCACAGCAGGAACACTGCCCGCGCTGCGCCGTCGCCACGATGGTTGCTACGGTCAAGCCCATTGTCGCAGACTGTGTCAGTCCACCTTGTGGAAGTCCCCCACTTTTTTGCTGATCCTCTACTTTTCCTAGGATGACGCCCTTCTCCAGGGACTGGCCCCTCCTGATAGTATGTCCAGAGTACATGAGATGAAGCCTTGTCAATCTTGCATCTGAGGAACATTCTGGTTGTACTTCTTCCGAGACAGACTTGTTTGTTCTTCTGGCAGTCTGTGGTGTGTTTAATATTCTTTCCCAACACCATAATTCAAATGCATTAAATCTCCTTTGGCCTTTCTTATTCATTGTTCATCCTTTGCATGCATAGAGGTGTATATTTATTTGTTGTGTGTGTGTATATATATATAGAGAGAGAGTATATGTGTGTGTGTGTGTATATATATAGAGAGAGTATATATATATATATATATACACACACACACATATATATATATACATATAGAAGGCTCTATTGTTTGATCTTCATCAGTAACTGCTTCAAGTCATCCTTACTTTCAGCAAGCAAAGTTGTACATCAGTGTATCGCAGGTTGTTGACGATTCTTCCTTCAATCCTGATGCCACATTCTTCTTCATATAGTCCAGCTTCTCGGATTATTTGCTCAGTGCAGAGACTGAATAAGTGTGGGGAAAGGTGCAACCCTGACGTACTCCCTTCCTGATTTTAACCACGCAGTGTCCCCTTGTTCTGTTTGAACGACACCCTCCTCGTGTACAGGTTGCTCATGAGCACAATTAAGTGTTCGGGAATCCCCATTCTTTGCAGTGTTGTACATAATTTTTTACGATCTACACAGCCAAATGCCTTAGCACAGTCAGTAAACACAGGTCAACATCTTTCTGGCATTCTCTGCTTTCAGCCAGGATCCGTTAAACATTCGCAGTGATATCACCCATTCCACACCATTTTCTCAATCTGGCTTGAATTTCTGGCAGTTCCCTGTCAACGTACTTTGCCCATTCTTTAATTATCTTCAGCAACACATTGCTTGTGTGTGGTATTAATGATACATATATGTTTTTATAATTTCCACATTCTGTGGGATCACCTTTCTTTGCAATGGGCACAAACATGGATCTCTTCGACTAGGTTGGCCAGGTAGCTGTCCTCCAAATCTCTTAGCATAACCAGGTGAGTGCCTCCAGTGGGGCATCCGTATGTTGAAACATCTCAATGGGTATCCAGTCAATTCCTGGAGCCTTGTTCTTTGCCAGTCCCCTCAGCGTAGCTTGGCCTTCTTCCTTTGATACCGTTGGTTCTTGATCATATGCCACCTCCTGAAATGGCTGAAGATCTACCAGTCCTTTTTGGTGCAGTGACTCTGTGTATTCCTTCCATCTTCTTTTGATGCTTCCTGCCTCATTCAATATTTGGCCCATAAAATTCTTCAATTTGCAACTTGAGGTTTGAATTTTTCTTCAGTTCTTTCAGCTGGAAAAATGCAGTGTCTTCTTCCCTTTTGGTTTTCTAATCCCAGGTCTTTGGACGGTGTGGTGGTTGTGTTTGTGCGTCAACTTGGCTGGGCCTGGCTGAGTGGCTGGGCAGCTGGATGTAGTATTCCCCATGATGAGACTGGCAATCAGCTCCATGGTGGAATCTACTGGGAGCAGCTGAGTAGCTGCCTTTGGGATGTGGTCTGCTTCCTGTATATAAGGAGAAGCCTTGGGAATGGTCTATAGTGTATGGCACGCTT